GGGGGGTCACCACTTTAGCCCGGACTATAATTCCTGGATTACCTTGGATTTTCATATAGATAATGACAGTTTCTGTAGCACCAGTTTAAGATCAACGTTTTCACATTTATTGCTATATTTCACTGTCTGTTAGAACAAATTTGGCAGACTTGTCCCTCTTCTCGTATGGTTTGTCCTCCAGGACCAGGTCACAATTGTAGCCTCTTACTTGGGTTTATGATTGAACATCTGCAAATCATTAACAGCAGCTTCAGCTTTGCAAATGTTAGCATGCTAATAGACTAAACTATGATAGCGAACACGGTAACCATTATAACTGCTTAGCGTGTTAGTGAGCTGATGTTAGCATTTAGCTCGTTGCATCTCTGAGCCACTGGCAATGGTTAGAGACTCAGTTTACACTTGATGTGCAGGATGTTCCAGGGTCTGATCTGATTTGCAAGTTTGACAAACATTTCAGGAGTTTTATATTTGCAAACTTGAAACTGTTTTCATGCAGTAGTGATGAAACAGAGTTGCATTATTTGGGCACTTCGGTGCTCTTGTCACACAGATATTCAGCTGTGTCCTACAGTATTTACATCCATTCAGCAGCAAAACTGAATGTAAATGTTTACTCCACATTTTACATGTAGCCTGTTAAACTATGTGGTACTTGTGTATTGAGCTTAGAGCTCTACTGCTCATTTAAGGCTAAGTGCTGATACTCATGAGCTAAATGACAAGAAATTGTTACGGTAATATTTTTCTATTGTTTTTTAAAACCTATGTAGAATGCTATTTATGAGCTTGTTATATTATTTGACAGTTTAGCTCGAGATGCAGGCATCTCACTTTAATATTTAATAATAAAGTATTGTGATACTGCATTTACTTTTTATTTATAAATTTTGTACATGTTTATTAATAAAAGTTCACACACAAGGCGACAGCTCTGTGGTCCTTTTCTGTTACTACAGTCATACTTTACTGTGAATTACAGAGGGGAAAGGTTACTGAACAGAATCTCAGGTGCCGGGGCAGAAAATCACAGGTGGGGCCAATGAAATTAATGATGTCTTTCTTTTTTCCACATGATGAGCAACACCAGGACATTCACGTCAAAGCAGCTCAATATATTACAACTGTCAGTCCAACTAAACCTACACACCACAGGTTTAAAACACTGAAACTCCTTGGTTAACATTTGGTTTGAAGAATCCAACACTGACATCTGTAAGAAAACTGTTACACAATCAAATGTGCTAACATCCTTATCTTTTCACAGTAATGTTACAGAAACAGATAATTTGCTAACGCTTTGTGAAGAGTCATTAAATGCCTCAACTATTGTGAAGATGTGTAATTTTGTACACGACACGACAACCAAAATACACCCAGACCTGATTACACAGAAAACAGAAGTAACTAAGGAACAACAAACAGAAAAGTCAGGGCACAACAAAAACCAAGAACATAAGAAAACAGGCTGAAACAAACCAGTTGCAGGAGGACACCTGAGGCCACAGGTCATGAAACCTTAGCGAACCCAGAACGAGAAGAGATGAAGCAAAAGAAGCAGCACAGACAAGCTAGTAGTGTAGCTGCTGGCAGGTAGACTGCACAGGGTGGGTGTAATCAGAGTAATGAGGGTGGTGAAGCTTGGGCTGAGAACCAGAGCTGGGGAGGAAATGTGCCAAAATAAAAGTCCAAAACAGGATGTTGGTACAGATTATGACAGTGTGAATATTTGGTACTGCTTTATTTTACAGGTGAATAATTACCAGGATGTTTACTGCAGTGGCATTAATTGAAATAATAGTAGTAAATAAATGAAAATTAAGGAAACCAGAAATAGTGTTTTTGTACACTTCCAATTAATTATTTCCAATGAAATGCTAATATAGCATATCAATGTGGGAAAGGCAAAAGAGGACACTTTATCTAGAGGAACACACTAAAGTTTCCACAGTCTGAAGATGGTTTATATTGTAATATTTCAAGAGTTAATTAAGAAATAGGGAGTCAGTATAAAGAGGTGTAACTGACATTTCCTCATCTGTTGCCTTAGTGTGAAAAACTCCTGCTGAGAAATGTGGTGGTATTAGTAAAACTTCACATCTGCTGCTGAAATGCAAACACTCATAAAACGCTGAGGGTAAAACTGTCCTCACCGGGAGGACTGACACACGAGGGAAAGTGCAGACCGCTGCTGCCGTTCAGCTGTAAAACCTACAAGTGAGCTGACACAAAGTGAGATGCATAATGTCAGATTGTTGACATGCGGCCACAGTCGAACGATGTCAGGCATCGACAGACTTTCTCTGTGAGTGGTACCGGCCTCTGGGGGACAGTCTGAGTGGTCTTGCAGTTGTACCGTGTGTGTGGACTGTGGTTAGGGGCAGCAGCTGAGCTGGATCTGCTGCAGAAAGACAGATGACTGTGTGCAGAGAGTGAGAGTGACAGGTGATAGTTTACTGACTGACAAACAGCTAAATATGGTCTGGATGTCACTACAACACAGGGCAGAAACAACATAGTTTTCCGTGTTTTTTCTTTGCGCAGATGACTGGACAGTAACTGATATAATACCATACTGATAAAAAATGAACTATCAGCTATAGTTTTACTAGTGCCTTTACCAAATAAGCACATTTTAAGGTTGGTGGTTGTATCCGCTCAGGGGTTTTCACCAGCTGTTCTGCGTCCTGCTGCCAGAGGACACTGTTCTCTGCAGTTTACAGTCAGCTCAGCAGGTGTTTAGCATGCTGCACATCAGTTCCTGCAAGTGTCTATCCAGTTTTTTCTTTTGTTACACACAGTAAATTTGCCTTTTATATGCAGTGAAACCACTTTTACAGCTAATTTTGTGAACCGTCACACTTTTTTATTGCTAGAGATTTATTGTCCCTAGGACACCGAGAGCTTTTCAGCAAGTGCCCAAAACAACATGCTGGTGTTGAGTGACAAAGTCCACGTAAGAATGTGGTCTGGGTGGATGGATGGGTCAAGATGTCACTGCTGTTTGCTTTCCCACCGAGAGTTTTCCTAAATGTAACCTGGTTGGTTTTGCACCTAATTTAACCAAGTGTCATCATCACATCATAGAAGTTTTTACAAAACTTGTCATGGTTTTGGAAAGCTCAGACAAATTCTGTCTACTGATACGAACTTCAGCTCAAGCATTTCTATATGCAATGTATTTTTTTATGTGGCGGACATAAGGCGCAGCACATTTTACTTCATCATGTGAGAGGTAATCAGTGGGTCTTTTGTTTAATATTTAGTGTTTTTACTCAGTTTACATCTGGATGGTTGCATGAGTTAAATTATGACATAATGTCGCTTAAGGATTTTTATTATACTCCAGTATTTATCAGGATTATTGTTGCATAATTTGGGCAAAAATAATTTCTTCATGGCATTTTCATATCAGCTTGTTCATGGCCTGCATTTCATTTTTATGAGGCCTATATCTATACTTGTAATGACAATGGCAATGACAGTTTATTTATAAAGCACATTTAAAAGTAACAAGGGTTGACCAAAGTGCTTTACAATAAATGACAAAACAACAACCGTGAACCAAAAAACAGAAGGAAGATCTCAGAAGAGTAGTATCAGCAATGACAGCAATGATAATCAAAGGCTGGAGAAAAATAAATATAGCTGTCAGGTTGAGTCATGCCATTACCTGGCAAGCATAAATTAGGGTTTTAAGCACTCTCAGACAGAGAAAGGAGGATGAGCAACTTTCCAAGATGTGTTTACAATCATGGTTTAAAACTCAAACTGCACTTCACAGAGTGAACACACACAGACACATGCAAGCGTGCACATAAATACACTTTTTTCTATGCTTTTCTCACACACTCGGAAGGAAGAAATGTATGTACAAACGAGGGACACACTCTCTTTCTGTCACTCACACACACACACACATTCAGGGTCCGCCCTGCAGCAGCAGAGGGAGGACAGGGGGAGGAGAGGAAGTGAGGACAGAGCAGTTTGGAATAAAAGTTGCAGGAGCAGCAGACATGAATTTCTCTGCTCGCTGCAAACTACAACCAGCATCCGACTGCAGCAGACGGACACTCCGATAGTTCTGTCACACAGTGGAGAGAGGACTGTGTGTGCAGCAGA